TAATCACCCCCTAAAATTATGGGGCTCATGCCCCTTTTCGAGCGTGGTAGGCGTGCGGCGGGGGGGGGGGCGTAAGCAAGACTTTAGGAGTGCGTACTTCTCTCATACTTCCTTATACCTCCATCATACTTCCTCATACTTCCATCGTACTTCTTCATACTTCCATGATAATTCCTCGTTCTTCAAAATACTTCGGAAGTAGATGACGTCTTGCTATTTCCCCCTCGAGTGAGCCTCATATTCGAGTAAATCCAGCCAAGATTCGGCGCCAAAGCTGCCCTAGCTGCGCAAGACAGCGCCAGTATGCAAGTCGACGAGCTCTATCAATTGGTGACTTTGGATTTTTTCTAGCATGAACCATTCTCTCAAAAATCCCGAAATCCTAGGTTTTTCCTTGGTAAATTTTAGCATATGGATAGTAAATCCAGCCAAGATTCGGCGCCAGCGCAGCCCCAGCTGCGCCAGACAGCGCCTGTATGCACCTCGACGAACTCTATCCATTGGGCACTTGGGATTTTTCCTAGCTCGAACCATTCGTGCAAATATCCTAAAATCCTCGCTTTTTCCTTGACAAATTTTACCAAATGGATAGTAAATCCAGCGAAGATTCGGCGCCAGCGCAGCTCTAGCGGCGCCAGACAGCGCCAGTATACAACTCGACGAGCTCTATCCATCGGTGACTTTGGACTTTTCCTAGCTCGAACCATTCGTATGAAAATCCGAAAATACTACTTTTTTTTACTATGCTAATCTTACCACATTGTCAATAAACCCAGCCGACATTCTTGCAGGACGCTGCTCCAGACAGTTCCAGAATAGAACTCGATAGTTTCTATCGATTGGCGACATTGGATTATCGATAGCTGAAACCATTTTTGAAAAAACTCGAAAATACCAAACTATCAGCCTATGAGTCCATCACATGGTAACTAAAATCCGTCGATATAGTTGTAGAAAGTTGTTTTAGCAATTTCAATACGTTCCCAAACGTAATTTGACTGAGCCCTATCAATTGGTAATCTTGGTGTTGTCATAACTGAAAGTATGTGTAAGTAGAATGAAAATGCTGGCTTTTGTCTTTTGCATCTTTTGAACTTTTTCGGTCAAAGTAGACAAGTTTCCTCTAGCATATCACCCCGGAGGAGTTTTGAAGGATACGTTCTCGCAAAATCCGCAGTCACCAATGGATAGAGCTCGCCAAGTTGTATATTGGCGGTGTCTGGCGCAGCTGGGGCTGCGTTGGCGCGGAATCTTGGCTGGATTTACTATCCATATGCTAAAATTTACCAAGGAAAAACCTAGGATTTTGGGATTTTCGCACGAATGATTCAAGGTGGAAAAAACCCAAAGTCACCAATGGATAGAGCTCGTCGAGTTGCATACCGGCGCTGTCTGGCGCAGCTGGGGCTGCGCTGGCGCCGAATCTTGGCTGGATTTACTATCCGTTTGCTAAAATTTGCCAAGGAAAAATCTAGGATTTTGGAATTTTTGCACGAATGGTTCACGGTAGGAAAAATTCAAAGTCACCAATGGATAGAGCTCGTCGAGTTGCATACTGGCGCTGTCTGGCGCCGAATCTCGGCTGGATTTACTCGAATATGAGGCTAACTTCACCTACGTCATCATTCCATAAGAAAAGCATAGTGACACGAACTCCTTTAGGGTATTTACCTATAGAATGAGCCCTACTTATCAGCATAATATGAAGTCAAATAGTGCGAATCATTTGGAAAAGTTTCCTTGTTAGTCATGTTGATTAATGCTTCCTCAGTTGGACTTTGTAGTCGAATACTTTACTTGTGAATTCATAGAAATGTATTTCATCAATGAGCAAACGATAAAAACTTATGTAGAAGATTTAAAAACAAATCAATAGTCTCAATCAATCAGTATCCATGTTGTATTTTCTTTTTCTTTAGTAGACAATGATGATTTGATCAGAAAACGTTTGAAAGTCAATCATCAAGAACGTCATGTAATTTTTCAGTCGTCTTTCAAAAAAAAACGTTCAGCTGTTGTGGAGAATATTATGAAGACTGATTCCAAGAAAACGAATATATGTCTATCTCAAAGTATTCTTGATCAAGAATATTGTCATATTACTAAAAAGTAGGAATGAAAAAGTTAGTTCTTACATTAAACATATTACGAAGTATTTGTTATTGTTCAATAGTGATTTGGAAATATTGCCAAATGAATTGATATTTCAAATTGTATCCTATTTGACCTCATTGGATACGATTCAAGCATTTTATGATCTCAATCAACGATTTAATTCAATAGTTATTGAATCTGCTCGTTGTTTCATTCTTCCAAGAACAACATCAAAAGACTTGATCCTTCGATATATACCACTTATAGAGAATTTTATTGAGACGCTCGTCATTGATATTCAATTAATATCATCAATTTTTTCATGTTCATATTCGTATCGAGAACTTCGTTCAATTATTCTCAAGTGTTCCAATGGCATCATGGTAGAATTAAAAGTCGAGAATACATGTGTTTTGGATGTGATTAACTCATGTTTAAATTTATTTCAATTATGTTGCATTGTATTACTCAACGAAAAAACTCAGATGTCACATTTTCTTAACAACTTTAGTCAGCAAATCTTTGATGAGCAAGTACGTAAAATAAATCATTGGAAATATTCGACTTTCACAGGATCATATTCATTTTTACATGCATATTTTTCAGAATATTTTACATTGTCCATCTATCATAAGTTTGTCGATCAATGACTGTCATCTATTACAATGCCTACAACTATGTGCTTGTACTCCTAATCTAATTAAACTCAAAATTCGAAATGTCTTGGAAAACTCTCATAATTCACTTCATTCTTCTCTAACAACTCACATCTCTCAAACTACACGATTAGTTGAATTACATATTATTCCTGATAGAGGTAATTCGATGAATATCAATTTTATTAAAGATATAATCAATTGTTATAAATCATCTCTTGAACAATTAACATTTAATATCCATAGTTATCGACGAATAATTGATGGTGAGCTTTTACAAACATTAATTCAACCATGTCAACATCTAAACAAATTAGCTTTTGTCTTTCAATATCAAGATACAGAGGATAATGTTATCAAACAAATACAACAATTTCAAAGTACTTGGTGGCTTGATAATCGCCGACCACCTGTACTCATTCTACGTAATAATGACGGTTGCATCTTACTCAGTTCGATGCCGTGTAATTTTTTCATATCGTTTAACTTTTCGATGGATCTACAGACATGGCGAACAAACAAGGAATCCCTCAATTCACCACTTATTCATTTTACTAAAATACGATCAATCAATTTCGAAAATACATGTAAACAACCAGTGACTATAGAGATGTTGGGCATTATTGGTCACATTTTTCAGTCATATCCTCAACGATTGACAATAAATAACTACAACTTTGCTTCGCCTCAATCACTTTTTGAGCAGGTAGGTTTTTGTCATCACTATAGGTGTAATAATCTCCAACAGAGAATGAAAATATTACAAATGTTTCGATGTATCGTAGCATACATTAATGTCCATTTCAGAGATAAATGGCTGTGAGTATTTTTCGAACAATTTTTAATAGAAATAAGATAGAGACCTGCGGTTTTTACCGCTGGAAAAAGCAGATAAAAATGTATCGAACCATTTGTAGAAAGATTTTTCTAACGACTTTTTGGAGGTTTTAGTCAAACATTTTCACAGAATTGCATTTTTCTCCTAGGTGAAAAAAGTGATTTTTCTATCGAAATACCAGAAAAAAACCTTCATTTTTTCGACTATTTTCTTGAAAAACTCGGACTTCATTAGCTAGAATATCTTATTAATAGTAGTTAAAAATAGAGATTTTCCATAGCTCTTCATCTGTCGGTTCTATCAAACTCCTGAAAATCAATAAATTAATATCACAATCATGAGAGGCATACAGTTTTTCTTGAAGCTTTATGTAAAACCTTCATAAAAGCTGTTAGAAAAAATCTTTCTATATATATTTCGATACACTTTTATTTCCTCTTTCCAATGGTGAAAACCGCAGGTCTCTATCTTATTTCTATCAAAAGCTATTTGAAAAATACTCACAGCCATTTATCTCTGAAATGGACATTAGTAGAAATATGATGTTTTTCAATAGATATTCAAAGAGTACACGCAGGTATTTATTAAAGTTCTGACAATCAAGAAAAATGCTTCGATGTTTTTAAAGTCGACTCCAAAATTGTACGTTTTAAAATAAACAAACATAATAGTGAATATTTTAATCTATTTACGGCTATCCAAAAGTAGTAACGAAGATACTTTGATTCTTTATAAAAAACAAAGATTTAAAGAAACTTTTTCTCTACATGAACTGATAGTAAAAACGACGCTCTAATTTTCTATACTATTACATCATAATAATAAAATTTCGATAACATCTATTTTTCTCTCATATATGACAGTTTTACTAATAATTATTTAAAAGAAGACGTAGTGAATATTTTTTTTTTGAAAAACTTTTTAATAGACAGTGGATAGAGTGCTATCATTTTCATTGTTTGAAAGAAGAGATGAAGATGCATCGAATTGTATATAATACGTTTTTCTAGTATTTTGTTTGATTAATTTTCAAAGTATGGGAAAAAATGATTGTTTGTCAAAAAGAAAGTAGAATAAAAGCATTTTTCAAAGAAATGATTAACTCTAAACATCTGAAACGTGTGGAGTTTTGTAGATCTTCCATTGTCGATTTGCATATGCAAATGACAACTGAAAATTCGTTAGAAACATCTCATGGGTTAGATTTGTTTTTAAAGATGTCGATTGAAAACCTTTAAAAAAAATCATGTCGAAACAAAATGTATAATATATGATTCGATGAGACTTCATCTTCTCTTTCGAACGATGATAGTTCTAGTTCTTTATCTTGTTTCTATTAGAAGTTATTCAAAAGATATTCACTCCATCTGTTTTTTTTAAATAGGCATTAGTATAATCGTTACATATGACAGAAAAAATAGATGTTATTGAAATTTTATTATGATGATATAACTTGAAGAATGATGTAATAGCATAGAAAAATACAATTTCATTTTTACTATCAGTCCATATAAAGAAAAAATTTCTTTAAATTTTTTATAAGGAACTAAAATACCTCCGTTACTACTCTTGGATAGTCATAAATAATTGTATTTCAACAAGCTAAACAATGTCTTATAAGAATAATAAAGTATTTTTTGTGTTTAGTTGATGAACACAAGACTAGTAGAGGCAATGTTGCCCAACGTGAAGTATTTACATCTTAATTCAGGTTACATTTCTACACTGGATGCAATGACACTTATTCTTTGGCTTCTCTTAGCACCGAACGTCAATGATATTTATCTACCTGATATGGATTATAGAGATGAACTAGAATTGGGATTACAATTAAACAATTTGATGCAAAAAGACACACGAATGAGATCAATTCTTGATGGCGTTCGTAAAGTGAATTTTTTTTGGCTTGGAGATTCTAATTGTCATGGAAGGAAAACGAGTATATACTCAATTTTTGCTAGAATTTTCCCGAAAGCTCAGCTTTGGCGTGTCTAAATAAATGTCAATATATTCTGAAAATTTTTAGATTTTCCACTCTTTAAATAGAATTTCATTACTGTTTACGATGATTGAAAGAATATGATAATGAATGATTCATAAGTCGAAAATTGTTGGTTTAGTGAATAGATTTACATTGAAAAGAAAACGAAAAAGATCTTATCTAATTTGCTGAAGTAATTTGAGAAGATGTTAAGTTTCAGTATTTGATTCTTTCATCGAAAGAAACAAAAAGTAAAGATTCGTCTTGAGAAATCAAAGCATTCCATCTTTTAGAGTTGACAATTGATTTCAGAGCATTAACAGTACATTACTGTTCAAGAATACTTACATCATTCATTATTTCGAACTCTTTCAATACACTTATTTACTAACAATATCATTGTGTTTCATTTAATTGAAACAGACACTAAAATTGACTGATAGCCGATTTTCTCTCGTTCACTTATTTTAGCATCAGTCAGTGTTCTATGCCACATGATTATGAAAGCAACCTGTGTTGAACGGAATCAGATTATTCTTTGCATTAGTTTGTTTACATCTATTAAATTCTTTTAGACAAACTCAAACCATGTCGTATCCATTTCAAAATAAGATCGGCACGTTCAAAGTTGTTGCTAGACTGGATGGGTTCGTTAGATTTCAATCTACACCATTCGAATTCTGAATAAACACTAAAAGATATTTTGTCTCGGTAGAAAAACCTTCTTATCAAAGAAAATTTTATCGGATATTGGCTAAAACAATCGACTTGAAAAAAACATGAACGCTCCTGTCGAAGAATTTGTTTCTCAACATGTCTTTGAGAACAATCGCCCCGAACAACGAACACCAAGAAGAACAAGTTGTTTTGAACCGAAGGCAAATCTTTAAAATCGAATTCAATTAGTAAAAAAAAAAGAGCTACGGAGATAATTATCAATTTTTCTCAAGGCGCCAAAGTTGTTTTTGTTTCGATTTTTGAGACGATAAAAAATATGTATTCTAAATTCGCAGCAATATCTATCCGAGAACAAATCTCGATGATGAATAAAGCGATGTGTCAAAAATAAATCAACAAGAATTATTCGTTAGCCTATCCGTGTTCTGATCAGAACTTTTATCGAAAAACCATGCATGCTAAATGCATCACTTGCTGAAGCCAAGGGAAATAAATGCGGAAACTTCGGATTTAAATCCGAGAGTTATGTGTACTTCAAAAAGTGAATCATATAAATCAAGATTTTAAATGGTAGATT